AGTGACTATATATTGAACAACTATCACTTTCCTCCAGTATATTGAGCTTCAAGTTCTTTTGGTACCACAGCCTTCTTTCTCATGGCTTATCTCTAGTATTCTCTCCTTCCAGTTTAATTATTGATCTTTTCTCTAATATCTACTCCATTCTACAGTTAGAGAAATATTTCTGATACACAAATTAATATGACCTAATGCCTTCTCTATTAAAATTCATCAGTGGCTTCCCATTGTTCTTAGGGTAAAGTTAAAATTTTTTGTTTGGTTTTAGCCCAGTCTCATCCGTACTTTCTCACATCACAGTTATCTCACTCTGTGCTCCTTTTCTAAGTATGTGTTTTGCAGATTCCTAGGAGGAAAAAGTGAGGCAAAGAATTCAGGGAACATAAAATGTACTTGGAAGAAAAAAAAAGAATTCAAGGAAAGCTTCTTGAAAGAGATGAAACCTGAAGTAGGACTTGATGGGTAATATTTGCAGGTGAGAGGAGTGAATACCTGCAGACTGGGGAAGTAATTTTTGAGTATGGGTTGTTTAGAATATTAAACAACCTGGTGGTGGTGGTGAGAAAAGCCGGGGGAGCTAATGCTGTGGAGAGCCTGAGGGACCAGGCTGAGGAATCATTTTCTAAAACTTGTAGTAGCCCTAGAGAAAATTGAAGAGTGGGTGCGGTGATAACTCCCAGAGACTGACAAAGAGGGTATTGTAGTTCAAGAACAAAACAGTTGCTTATACAAGATAGCACCGTATGAATGTATATTAAGAGAAATTTGGGGGGGATGAAATTTGTGACTAGAAAACAAAACTATCAAAATAATGTCAAGATTTTAAACTCCTGTGACTAGGAGAATACAGTTTCAATGGAATTTGAATGTACATTAACAAAACTTTAGTTCTGTTTGCTAATGTGTTGTCAAAGCATCTTTGAAATGAATAAAATTGTGGATGCTAGGTTATAGGCTAGAAGAATATCAGAAGGGAAGAATACAAAGAAGTGGTCCCACAAGCTGGATCTTTTCCCTTTCGGTAGCTTTCTTGGAAGTCCCCTAGAACCCAGTTACCTGGCCTGACTTAGGTACACAATAGCATAATCTTTTGTCCTGTAATTTTGCTGAATATTAATAAAGAGGAAATGGACAGTAGGTGTTGGGAAAGGCAGCCAACATTTTCTGCCACAGCAGGGAATAAAAGACCTGTGCAAGAGTAATGGATCATGTAATCCCAGCACTCAGGAGGCTGAGGCAGAAGGATCCCTGAGTTTGAGGCCAGCCTGCACTCAGTAGTAGGTTAAAGGCCAGCCTGAACTGCTTAGTGAAACCCTGTGTCAAAAAAAAAGTAACGGATCAAGTGGGTGGCCGCCAGGTATGGTGGTACATACCTGTAATCTCAGTGCTTGAGAGAATGAGACAATACAAGTTTGAGGACTGATACAAGTTTGAGGTCAACCCGGGCTATTTAGTGAATTCAAGGCTACCCTGAACTACATAGCATGATGTGGTCTCAAAAAAGAGTAAGTAATTAAAGCAGTGGCTCAGTAAAAGGATATGAGATTTTGATTATGTTGAGAAAGTTCAGAAATAGTGATTTTAAAGGTGCATATATGGATTTGATGTATGTGACTTAGACTTTGTTTATACAGTTTTCCGATTATCTTTTCTTTATCATAGGTGGTATAATCAAAATGTAATGGTGAATGATTAAATTTTTAAACAGTAAAAGACACATTGCCAGTAATCCCTATCAGAATACTCTCCATTGCTTAGAACACACTTATCCCATTACTGTTTTCTCTTTCTGAAGCGGTTTACACATTTTTTGTGTGTCTTTATAGGATGTGATAAAAATACTATGCATTCGACTGTCAAGTGCCATCCAATGGAAAGGCAGGCTCATAAAAACATGTGTATCCTCATTTACCTTATTCACTAGATCTGGCATTGTACAACTTCTGGCTCTTCCCTAAAGTTAAAATAACTGTAAAAAGTAAACATTTTGGATCGATTCAGTACATTGAGGCAGCCATGGTAGCTCAACTAAAAGACACAGAAGACTTCCAGAACTGCTTCAGAAAGTGGCAAGAATGATGGGAGAAGTATATTTAAAGCAAAAAGGCAGGGCATTTTCAGGAGGATTAGGAACAATATGTCTTAAACTGATAAATTCAAATTTTGGGGGACAGTCACTGTGTTTTTAAATTATGTTTCATGTATGGTTGGTACACCATAAATGAGTACATGGCCAATGTACCTTTTTAAGGAAATTTTACAGATTTTTTCAAAGAAGTAAGTGTGAGACATTTTTAGTGTTTTTAATTTCTAGGGAATAAACTGTAGAAATATACAGCTTTTAAAATTGTTCAGTAGGACTTGCCATAGATATTTCTAATATCAAGCAGCTGGTTGTAGTGGTGCATGCCTATATTCTCAGCATTTGAGATGGTGAGGCAGGAGAATTGCTGAATTCAAGGCCACCCTGGGCTACATAAATTAGTTTAAGGCAAGCCTGCACTACACAGTGAGACCCTGTATTAAAAAAAGAAAGAAAGACAGATCTGTTTTTTTGATCTCTGCCTACTTGCCAAAACAAATTCTAAAACACAGAGAAAGAAAAAGGGGGAGAGATTAATAGTATTTTTTTGTGCAACTAGCATGGACCATTGAATCCAAGGTTAGTTTTTTCATTTTAACTGTTTCTTATAACCTTGATTATAATAGGCTATGGAACTGTTGAATAAATGATTGGATTATTTCTGAAGCCCTGAATAATGCAGGCTAGCATGAAATTTGGAAGTTAAAGGGAGAGTCGCCTAGGATAGCAATAGATTTGTGAGCTCAGTGATTTGGAAGACTGAGGCCAGTAGTGTTACATGTTTAAGCCCAGCCTAGGCAACAGAAACAAAACCAGCAACAAAAGCCATGTTAATTAAAGGCAGTCTTTACCACTTAACGAAATAAAATGCTTTGCAGCAGGTAAAAAAGCTATACTTGCACTTAAGACACATATTAGTATAATTATGTGGTTAACATAAGATTACTTTTATAATAGATTTTTTTTAAAAATTGGCATTAAAACTAAGTCTAAAGAACACCTTGTTAGCACAATATAGAAAAATAGGTAGCTTCATTCAGAAGCATTTTTTAAAAACTTAGCTCAAAATGCCAAATAAATCTTGTAAATTTATTATGCTTACAGTGGTAAAAATCAGCATTTTACTTAGTCTTTAAAGGCAACTCCTTATTTTGTCTGTAGTACTTTATCTATTGCCAAATGCACATGATTTTGGTTCTAATTATGGTGACTGGATTCTCATCCTCCCAATAGGATCAATATTAAGCCAGCCTTCTTTACCTCCTCGATCCATATTAAACCTGTCTTGGAAGGAGTCTGTTTATTGGATAATATAGCTACACTGGGGCTCCATGACAATATCTTTTGCTGCCTCATTAACTCTCGAGCATTAGAACAAGATAAAAATGCCCTAAAGCCTCTTATCTGATGTCTGGTGTAACCTGCTGAAAAGCAGGAGTGCCATTAGTTTATGTTAGAAATCAAATAGCCCTCTCCAGTGCAGGAAGTACTGATTAAAGCTGAAGTGTCCCTGAGGACTCTACAGCTGTCAAAGGGGTGGTGGCTGTTCCTCATGGAAAAGGAAATCTGGGTTGGAGGTCCCTGTGGGGCGGTGCTTTAGAACGCGCACGTGGCTGCCCCAGCTGTTCTGTTTTGCCTAATGAATTGTTTTACAAGAAGAGCTGGGTATTATCATCACAAGCTGCCTTCCGGAGGGACTGGAGCAAGCCAAATAATAAGTAATGTTAGTGATGGTAATTGAAATGTGATGGCTCTCCTGAGATCTTTGCAGGCCTGGAGCTGGTTGGCACTTGTGGATTGTCTTGTCCTACCAGGCCCTGTTTGAGGTGTGCCTGTCTGTCTGTCTGTCTGTCTATCTGTCTTGTTTTGTTTTGTCTTGTCTTGTCTTGTCTTTTCTGTTCCTTCCTTCCTTTCTTTCTGCCTGCTCCTTCTTTCCTTCTTTTTTCAATCTTCCAGTTTCACAGTAGTCTTATGTGAATTTTTTTCTCTCCTGCCCACTATGGAAATTCATTAACAAAAGCAGTCTTTGGATGTTGTAGTGGCTTTAAGTACAAAAGGAATCACTTTGACGTTTTTATTTAAATTATTGGCACAGCAGTAGTAGAGGAGGGCCACATCTTAGTCTTTTGAGAAGGACTACTAGAGATCTCTCTGGATTTTTAAAGGAAACATTTTAAACTTAGATAAGTAACACAAGTTTTTGGTATAAAAAATTTAAAATACTGTAGATGGATATAAGGATATAAGATGAAAAATAAAAATCTTATTTGCTGAATTTACCAAAAGTAACCACCATTACCAATTTCTCTATGAACAGTTCAAGACATTCTCTGTACATAGTCTTAAATTTGTATTGTTACTACGCATAGAAGAGATCATACAGTTTTGTGACATTTTTAGTCCTATGTCTTTAATATCTAGTGCTATAGACCCACTTTACTGTTACCCATTTGCTTCATAGATTTCACTGTATGGATATATCAATTCAGAGTTCTTAGTAGGTGATTCACTTTGCACTTTATAAGTGAATGTTTATTGTCTCAAATGGGTGCATTCACTGATTCATGTTCTGTGATTCAACCTCTGAATTCACATGAAATGGTTTTCCTTTCTTTGAGGGTATTAGGTTTTAGTCCAGGATTATTTTAAAATTGGAAATGCTCAAGAAGTGAAACTTGTAGGTGGTGGATAGTATGAATCTTGTGTGAATCTAGTATGAATCATCATAATGATATAGTGCACTGAGATATGATGAGTACAATGATATAGTGTACCTTGTTACATGTTTTAAATTCTTTGTTTTTCCTACCTGTTCCGGGAAGAATACTTTGCATTAACAAAGCAAAGAATTTAAAACATGTAACAAGGTGCATCTCAGTTGCTTTGTTAATGAAAAGAATTCTTTCCCGAGCAGGTAGGAAAAACAGGTCGTCTTTGAAGAAGGTCATCTAAGGTAAGGACTAGAGGCTTCCTCTAAAGTTGAATGTTTCTCCCCCGATTCTCTACTTAATGAGTTCTAGGAATCAAGTCTTGAGTGTAGTAGTGGACTTGGGAAGTAATGTGGAAATGAAGACTTAGGTTTCTTGTGTAACAGCTTGTCTAACAAGCAAAGTTGTGACCCTTGAACTTCGATGGTCTTGCAATGTAATGAATGAAGCAAAGCAGTTTTCCCTTCAGTGATGAGAGAAATCAGTTGTCTTCTCAGGCAAACAAAACCTAATTTAGTTGTAGCTGTCTTCAGTTGGAGACTGTATTTGCATATTGAATGATAGAGATTTTCATATTCACTAGAAGTGGAAACATTACATAGCTTTTTAAAACTCAAAGCCCTGTAGCTTCATTTTCTCATCAATCAAAAGTTCTGGTTTGCGTTTTTTTGGGGGGTCTTTTTGAGACTGCTATTCAGGCTGACCTTGAGCTTACTTTGTAGCCCAGGCTGGTCTTGAATTTGCAACATTCCTCCTGCCTGATCCGCTCAAGTGCTGGATTGACAGGGATGTGCCACCACACCTGCTTTTTGCCTATATTATTAAAGAAACGTTAGAACTAATAAACTGTGAGATGCCAGTTAATTTAGCTTCAGGTTTCTTACATAGTATTTTCCCTGCCCTTGGTTAGTCATTTGAATTGTTACACAGTCTTTCATGTAATAATTGAGACTAATAACAGTTCTTTTACACTATTTATACCTAACTTCTTGTCCAAGCCAAGCCTTCAGTAAACTCAAGAGAGACAGGTATACAGAGATTTCTGGGGAAGTAAAAATTTTAATTTAACCCTTCAGTTTCACTAGTAAATGGTCAGTAGCCATATATACTTAGTGGCGGCCATGTTGGACAGCATCACCCTAAACAGAGTTAGCAAACTATAGGCCACAGCCTGATTTTGTTTTCCCTGTGAGGCAAGAGTAGTCTTTATATTTTTTATAAGGTTATAAAATTTAAAACAGAAGACCATAAAGCAGAAACTGTATGTGGCCCCCCAAAGCCTAACATGATTATTGTCTGACCCTTTACAGAAAAAGTTGCTGACCCATGGATTTGTGCCAGCTTTTCTTGATTTTTTCTAATCGAGTTAAGTTGTTTCCCTAAGCTACCAGGATGCAGATTGTGAGTCTCCTAAGCATCTACTCAGAACAAAGTCCTTCACACTGTAGACTGAATCCGTCAGTTCCTTAGAGTTAGCACAAGTGGAATGAACACTTAAAATAGGTAAAACACCTTGTAATATAAGTTGGCAGCTTGCCATGAGCATGTGAATGAATGCCTGTCATTCTGACTTCATACACTATTTCTTGTAAGTACTATATTCTGTATATTACATTAAAAGAAATATACATGTTAGTGAATGTATTTCAGCTATTAACATTTACCTTGAAGATTTTAAAAAATTGTTCAAATTGTATATTTTTTTCAATCTGTTTTATTTCAAAGAGAAAACAAAATTTCAAAACACATCAATCAGGGGCAAATTATATTTAACTATCAAATTATGCCAGTCTCCTAGAAACAATGAAGCAAGAAGATTCTTCTGTTGATATTCTCAGTATCCGAGAAATAATCTTCCTGTGTCAAATGTAACCCAACAATTTCTCATTAAATATAAGGCTTATGAAATTTGCCTGTGAAACTAGCAGCTGCCACTTTTGTGAAAAACTGGAGTCAACTTGTTGCTTTCAGAATAGCACCTTAACATTTATGTGATAACTGTGAATTCCTAAATTTGTGATTATCTAGGACATATCATTTTTCCTCTAAAATGCATGAAAATATGGTTTAAAAAATTTAAGTCATCCATTTAGGATTTTGATAAAAGGTATTCCATAATTCGAAGTAACTAAAGTAGTTCTCCCTCTAAAATAAATGTTACGCCACAGAGTTATTAGTAATATTAACCCGAACTTAGCTGAATCGTCAAACTTAAGGCTGTAATGCCAAATTGTGGGCCATGTGGGTCAAGAAGAGGACTGAACCACAAAAATGTCACATTTCATATTAGTGTGGCAGAAAGACAAGTGGTAGAGCAAAGAAGGGAGACAGTAATTGTGAAGCAGTATCCTGAGAGGGACTCATCATGAAGTAATAGCTTCTTTCCAAAGAACTTTATAAATGAGATTAGTTTTTGTTCCTGGGTACAAAATCAGTACACATTTTATTAATCTGTACCTGTTTGTGTGTTGGGGATTTAGCTCAGCTGCACAAGCGCTTGCTTGGCAAGCATGAGGTCCTGAGTTCAATCCTTGGTACAAAAAAAAAAAAAACAAAAAACCTCTGCTTGTTGATCATAATTGGTTATAGTATCAACTAGCAGTTTATGTTAGAACTTTAATTTCTCAGAAGTTCCTCTGATACTTTGGTATTGTCACCTTTGCCAACTCATCTCTAAATCTTCCTGTTTTAGTTACCTTATATATCACTTTTATGTGTGCCCTGTAAACCTTTGCCACCTGCTTGCTTTGTCAGCACTAATGGTGTACCCTCCACACTGTCTGCGAAACACTGCCTCCTTCCATAAGGCATGGCATTCAGTTTCTGCCTGCTTGCCTGTAAGGCAATCCATGGTATTTCTTACATAAGCAAGGATGAGTTTCTTCTAAAGCTATCTGTTACCAGCTTACAATCAAATACAAATCAAAACCATGAAATACCATTTTCTCTGTCTGTGATATTTTATGATGCCAGTGGGAGTATGGCAAATTTGTATGCCTTGAGTTTGTATTTTTACACCTGATTTGAAAAGTCAGAAATATTAAGCAGTGAACCATTTCCTTGAACACTGAAACTTTAAAACTCATGGAAGGAAACAGGCATTAGATCAAAGCATAAGCAGAAAAGGGAAAAAAATTAAGTTTCATTAAAATTTAAAAACTTGTGTGCTTCAAGAACACCATTAAGAAAGTGAAAACAGTTTATAAGATTGGAAAATATATTTTTAAATCATTTATATATCGTGTGATAAGAGGCTTATATCCAAAATATATATAAATATTTATAACAATAGAATGACAGCCTGATTTTTTTAAATGGGCAAAGAATTTGAATAGACACTTTTCCAAGGAAGATATGAAAGTAGCTAATAAGTGTATGAAAAGATGTTCAGGATTATTCATCATTAGGAAAATGCAAATCAAAACCATGAGATACCATTTCGCACTCACTAGGACGGCTCTAATAAAAAAGATGAATAATAGCAAATGTTCAAGATGGGAAGTAATTGGAACCCTTGTGCACTATTGATAGGAATGTAAAATGATACAACTCCCATGGAAAACAGCATTTTAGTTCCTCAAAATAAAATTACCATATGATCTAGTAATTCCAATTCTGAGAGTATATCTCAGAAAGAATTGAAAGCAGGACTTGAATATGTGAATATCTATGTTCGTAGAAGAGTTTTTCACAATAAAATGTGTATACAAGTAAGGGAATATTATTTAGTCCTAAGGAAATCTGACATCTTCAGGATATTACACTAGGTGAAACAAACCAGTCACAAGAAGACAAATACTGTATGATTCTATCTACATGAGCAAGAGTAATCAAATTCACAGAGACAAGAAATAGAATAGTAGTTACCAGGGGCTGGGAGAAGGGAGGAATGGGAAGTTATTGTTTAATGGGTACAGAGTTTTGCAAGGTGAGAAGTTCTGGAGATTGTACACTGAATGAATATACCCAATGCCACACTTAAGTGAAGATGATAAATTTTATGTTATATGAATTTTACCAATTTTAAAAAGAAATGTAAAAGAATTACGTCTGGTTTTTAAAATTATGTAAGAAAAACAAACAAAAAATTAAACTTGTCCAGGAAGCTCAAAAGGATTTGAAAAAGTCTACTATAAGCTTCTTTCTGAGGACTTTACTTTTTAAAAATGTGTAATAATTTTATATTTTACTTCCTTCAGGTCATTAGTAAGTCCCTTCTATTTCTGTTCCCTTTATTTATTCCCAAAATACATTAAAAATTATCTCCTTATCCTGTCTGTTACTCACTTTAAACCTGGGACACTACCAAGTGTTCATGCCTGCTTTTTAGCACTTGAATTTTATAGTAAGTAAAATGTTTATGATGGATTATTATGAAAACAAGGTGCTAGGTTTTGGGTGTCAAAACACATCAGCATCTCTTTGAGACACTAATAAGCTGGTTATTGCTTGCAGCGTAAGACAGCATATACTAAGAGCCACACGAGTAGGCTAGACATTCACAGACCTGAGAGAGCAGGGTAGTCTAAAGGTGAATGGAGACAATCTTTTAAAAAGTGGTATTTAAACAGGAGTGAGAGAAACAAGTCCTATTTATCATCAGTGGCAAATTGTTTTCCTCCTCACTAAGAGTCTGTAAAATGTTCTATGTAGCAGTTGCTATTTGATTAATCTACACAAACCCTTTTTCTCATATTCACTTATTTCCCTTGTTGGCAGTTCAGTTTGCACGTATAGTACAAAGTGCTACTTGTTTGTCCATCTGTTAAGCAGTAAGAGAGGCAAATGTTATATAGTCACTTGGTCACCAAGCTATGTAGCAGCTTCTGTACACTTACCCTGTTAAGCCTGTTAAGTGGCAACAGAGAGATAAAGTAGCCACTGTCCAGTATCTCTGTAGTGCAGAGAGCTGTTTGCTACCATTGGAGGCTTTGGAAGGTCTGCCATCACTAGCCTGGGGTGAGTTTGACTAGGACCTTGACAATGATTTTGATTGTTTCTGTTTTCTGTGCAGACTAGATTCATTACCTGTCAGAATCTCAAAAACCCTTGATTTAAAAAATATATTGATTTTTCTTTCTCTTCTTTTAATGTCTTCTCTATGTTAAATGGTAACCTCCGTATGACATGCAGTGATGATTTCTGAATTTTCATTAGGTACAACTCATTGTTAAAGCAACAAAGTGGTTGGCTGTTCTTACAACTAATTTTTGTTTAAATAAACTAGGGTCCTTTAAAAAGATTAGCCAAAACAGTTTTTTAAATTCACAGCAGCTCTGATATATATCAGTCCTGGCTTGCCAGACTTTGACCCAGAGCTGTGCAGTGTTTTATTACTCTCAGCTACATAAGGACACATACTTATAGCACCACTTTTGTAGCAGATATTTTTATAACTCCACAAAATGATTAGACTGACGTAGGGCAATTCTCTAAATTCATAGGTATTAAAATATTCTGGCAGCTGTCTCCTTTTTGCTTATAAGTTGAGACATCATGATAAGATAAGACTGCTTCAGGCCTGATTGGTACATGAATGAGGTTAGGCACGGCATTCTCACACTATTGACACGGATCTTTGTCACTATAAATAGGAAAAATCTTGAGGGAGCAGTTCCCATTATAGTAATTCCAATTCAATTCCAGTAATCTTTTTTTTTTCAGAAACCTTTATTTAAGAATAAATTCCATGCAATTAAGAAGGAAGTTATGATATAAAAATATCTTTAAATTTTAACTCAGATAACTTAAGAGTTTGAGATATTGATTGAAGTTAAGGGATAACCTGGGTGAAAGAAACGTGCTGGTAAAGTGGTATCAGGGCACAGTTGTATGGGATTCAGATGGTTTGTTCTCCAAAGAAGCATCTAGCAATCCATAGATTCAAGATCTTAGTCCTCAAGAGGAGACCCAGAGTCTGGGAAAGTCTAATGTTATGATCTCAGCTCTTCCTAGTGCTCTATTCCTGCTATCAAGTGTCTCAAATTCTTTTAACTTAGAACAACTTACAGTTTGAAATATCCTGTCTTCTTATGTTTTGTTGCTATAACAGAATACTTGAGACTGGGTTGCTTTAGAGAAGTTTAGTTAGCTCACAGTCATGAAGTTCTAGGAGTGAGCACGCTTGATGAGACCCTCATGCTGAATTATAGCATGGCAGAAAATGTAAGGGCAAATGGGTGGCAAAATGGGGCAGCCCACTTTTGCAAGAATGAACCCATTCCAAACAGGGGCATTAATCCATTACTAACCTCTTACAAGCCTCACCCGGCACGGCCACAATGCCAGTCAGATTTCAGCTTGAGCTTTAGTTAGAGGGGGACATTTCATAGTCTGTTGCTGAGAAATATGCACCATTAAATGGCAGATGATATTGATACAGTCAATTTGGAAAACTGTTAGGCAGTACTTACTAAGCCTGTTCATACATGTACACTATGATTTGGTTACTCCAGTGCTAGATATATATAGATACATACCCTAGAAATAGAAATGCATACATACATTTGTATAACAAAAGATACATACAAAAAGGTTCAGAGCAGCACTGTTCATAATAGATCCAACCTAGGAATAATCCGAAGTCTGTTGATAGTAGAATGAATAAAAAGGATATTTATTATACACAAATATAATAGAATACTTATAGCTTGAAAATAAATTGCTACATGCAACAGCACAATGAGTCACAAGAACATTACATTGAGTGAATGGAGCTAGGAACAACACAGCACATATTATATAGTGTCATTTATATAATATTCAAAAACAAAGCTGATCTCTAGTGATTAAGTGAAAACAGTAGTTGCATTGGGTTGTGGTGATACCTGGGAAGAAGGGTTACAAGGAGGTGAGACTTGTAGGTGCTAGCAGTGATTATGTTTATATGGTTGTTACATTTTGACATTTCTCATGTATACTTAGGATTTGTACATTTTCTTATATATATTTTAAATAAAATCAATTTCTAGACAAATAGTGGTTGAGATAAAAACTGAAACAAATTCACTCTCAAGTCTAATAGTCTTTAAGTGGCAACTCCCGTGGCCTTTTTGGTTTAATCTGAGCAGCTCATGAAAGAAGGGTATTGGGTATTGACAATTTTCTAGACAGGAAAAGAGGATGTTGAAGATGAAGGGAACCAACCTTCCCACCCATCCTCTATTTCAAAATGTCTTTTGAGCAGCCCTAATATAATGAGGTAAGGATTATAGGAACTATTTTTCTGGTGTGTGTCCATCACTGGCACCTGTGAATGTAAACCACTTTATGTGTTTTACAGGTCTGTTTTAAATATAATACCATTGTCAGTATTGAATTTTCGCCACCAGAGCATCATAAGATGAAGTGACACTGGAATAGAGAAAGGATGGTGATAGATGGGACTCAGTAGGTGGCAGTATTCCCTTTGAATTTTTTAATAAAATGTAGGTACCTGTTGGCAGGGGGCTTCTAGCAACTTTTAAAAACAGGAATAAAAAAGTCAAGCAGAACAGAAGAAAATTTAATATTTTCACACTTTTGTTGCTTCACATAGTGCTATTTTGAATGAATCAATAACATTTAAAGTCCACAAATCTAGAGGACATGTTTTTCCACAATAAATCCTTGAAAGGTGGTTATGTACAAGGCCTTATGCCTGTAATCCCAATACGGGAGGCTGAGGCAGGAGGATCACACACTTAGTCTCTTTTTGAGCTTTGTCTCAAAAACAGCAATAATTAAAGGGCTGGGGGTATGGCTCAAGTGGTAGAATACTGTTGGGTTCAATCCCTAGAACAGGGAAAAGAATATCCTAGTGTGATAGCCTGTAAGAAGGTTTTTTTTTTTTTTTTAATAGGATATTGCTGTTAATGGATAGCCTATTTAGAAAGTATTTGAGCAGTGCTTTTTTTCCTGTCTTGTATTTAGAAATGTGTATTTATCAAGATTGAGATCAGACTATCTGCTTTAGACAAAGATGTCAGTGAAATTTATTGATGAGATTAGAATGTAGTGGAGCACAAATTAAAAGAAAAATCAAAGTTGACTTATTTTTCTTGTTTATTTTAATATGAATGAAATACTATGAATACTATATCTTTAATATTGAAATTTTCTTACAATGGGAGTGCTACTGCATAGAACACTGGATTTAAGCAATCTATGACACATAAGGGTTTTAGTTGTGAATAGATTGTTTTGAGACAGGGTCTCACTATGTAGTACAGGCTGGCCTTAAACTCATTATGTAGTGTAGGCTGGCCTCAAACTTGCGGCAATCCTGTGTTAGCCTCCCAAGTGCTGGGTTGACAGCTATATACCACCACGTCTAGCTCTTAGTTGTAAGTAGTTTTGACATGGATTACAGTAATTTGGCATAGAAGCCAAGACTTACTAAGGCAGGCACAGTGGCACATGGCTACAATCACAGCTACAATCACAATCACTAGGAAGGCTAATGGAAGAATGCCATGAGTTTGAGGCTAGCCTGGGCAATATAGTGAGACTCTGTCTCCAAAAAATAAATAGGCAAACAAAAACAACAACAAAAAATAGTTATCAACCAGTCAAAAGACAGAACATGTCTATTATGCAGAGTAGGAGACCAGTTAACAGATTTGTTGGAATCAGAAGAATTACATTTAAGTCCATGCTTCCTACTATTCTTGGGAAAATCTGTTAATCTGAGTAAGTTTTCTTATCATCTATGATATGTAATGGGAAGTAATATGACTGTGACTGGCTCATCGGTTGCTTATTGTATCAGCGGATATATTGTTTTTAAGGGTGCGATATGAATGATGGTGGACCACAGATGGACTCTACTTTATTTTTTATTGTTTTTTTTTTTTTTATACTGGGTATCAAACTCACTACCTAGCACTTGCCAGGCAGGTGCTTATGCCACTGAGCTAAATCCCCAGCTCTACTTCGTTTTTATACCATCCAAAAATTTGTTTCCTCATGTGTTCTCTTTCAGTCATCAGGTAGCTGCTATGAAACACCGATAATGATAGCTTTAATAGTCATCATTATATGAATACCTGCTAATTGATATTGTATAAGGCATTTTAGGGGCATTAGTTTCTAAAGCCTTATAGTAGCCATGGATGTTGAACTACTGACCCCACTTTACAGTTGACAAAAGTCTGTACTAGTCCAAAAACTGTGAACCAAATCTAAGCCATCTGACTTCATAATCTTTGTTTTTAGTGTATCATACTTTGCTTTCAGGATTTCACTTGAGTGTCAACTTTCCAGTGTTTCAGAAGCCAGGACTGCATGTAGTATGTTTTTGTATTGGATACTTAAAAACAATGGGCCTTAAAGGAAAACATCTTTCACATTGGAATTATTAACAGAATCCTAATGCATGTAATTACTAATTTAGGAATTGGGGGATTGATATGTCCAATTTGAGCTTTCGTCTTTTGTTTGGCTTTTTGAGACAGGGTCTCATTATACAGTTCAGGCTGGGTAAGGGCTTATTTTGTAGCCCACGTTGGTCTCAAACTTGCAATGGTCTCCTGCCTCAGCCTCCCCAGTGCTGGGATTACAGGAGGGCGCCACCGCACCTGGCAAGCTTTTTTTTTTTTTTTTTTTTGTCTTTAGCCGGAGCACAAGTAAATCATTTCTTAAAGATTCAGACGTAAGGAGAGGAATAGAAAACAGCATCGCACAATCTAAAGAGTGTTAATGTCTATTTTGAGTGTATAATATTATGTTATTTACATTTACCCCTCCTGGTTGTATTTTTTATTTTAATACTAGACATGGTTTGCCTTTTTCTTTGTTCATATATATGCATATTTTAGAATGATTTCCTATTTATTGTAATTTTAATAGTCATTCACATTTTGTATGATGATAAAATCTTTTGGAGAATATACTTAAAACTGATAACTAAGTACATTAATAACATATTTTTCCTATCACTGTTAGGTAAAAATAAATAAGTATGCATGAAACTTATTATCTTTCAATATTCTGAGGATTTTGTTTTTAATGGAAAATAATTTTTCAAAAATAAATCATCTTTTGTAAACCCATAAAATTATTTAATCATGTTTTGTCTGCCTTCTGATTTCATCTGTACATTGTCACTAATTGTTTTTGTTGAGTCACAGTCTCATTAAACCAGTCTCTGTAAACCAGAGTCAAAGTCTCATTATGTAAACCAGGGTGGCCTCAACTTGATGTGTAGCCCACATTGGCCTCAAACTCAATATGCTCCTGCCTCAACCTCCCACATGCTGGAGTTGCAAGTATGTGCTGCTATAAGGCCCAGCTTACTAATTGGTTTTTTTTTTTCAATAAACCTTTTTTTATAATACTTTTAGATACACAAAATTATGAGAGTTCCCTTCTAACTTATCTCCAGTTTCTCCTATAATTATTAATTAGGATATTACATTTAGTGAACAATTTATTTAGGAGTCTTTAGTTTTTTCCTAATGTCATTTTCCCTAATGTCTTTCCAGGTCCATTAAAGATACCATAGTTAGTAATCATATCTCTTTAGGCCCCCTTTGATTGGGACAGTTTCTCAGACTTTCCTTGTTTTTGAAGACCTTTACAGTGTTAGGGAATACTGATTAGGCATATTGTAGAATGTCCCTCAGCTGGGATTTGTTTGATGTTTTTCTCATGATTATACTTCGTCTTTTACTATATACACTAGGTGATATGAGGATCATGCTCTTAATCATAGTGAGTTCCATGAGGAAGGCAGATTAGGATCTGAATATATTGAGTGTGGATAATCAAAGAATGCTTGACAGCATTCTTTGGTGGCTTACAATATTGACTAAAATGTTCTTCGCATTTTAAAATATTTTATCATTTCTCATAGAAAGTCCATTCTAATTTTGGTTAGAAGCAGGAGCCTAGGTGTTGTGATCTACTTGTGTCTCTTAAGAACTGTTTCTCTTCTAATTGCACCTACTGGGGCAGTTAGGATTAGTTTTAATGTTACTCCTAAGAGCTTTATTTAAGCTGTATTGGTCTTTTAATTAGTAATGGGCAATTTTGGGTGAATTGTTAATTGGTTTGAATTGTAGACATTATACCCAAAGCTGCTTTGTTACTCCAGCCTAGAGCAGTATAAGATTAAAACGGTCTGGTTTAGTTACTTTGGTTAGATGAATGCTTGAGAAGTATTATTTTTAGTGGTTTTGGTTTGTATTCTAACCTAGTGTTTGTTTAACTGTGTTAAGAATTATTGTCGTTTAAATCACTGAGGTCCACAATTCTACTCCATTAAGGGCCACTACTGTTCTGCCAATCAAAAAGCATCACCCTTGAGATTGATTTTTTTCTCAGGGTAATAATGGCTACCCAGTGATACCATTTCCAACTCTTTTATGTAAACAGAAAGCAATCAAATAAGTACTAATCCAAGGATTATGTAGACCCAAATCCGGTTACAAGAAGATTCTCTGCAGTGTATGTTCCTGGCTCTTTGCCGTCTAGAATACCAGGCAGCCTGTCTTCTTCAGGAGGGCTTGCCTGCTGCTTGTACTGCCTGTTAGATTTCACTATGCTAAATCCAAAACACTCCTGTGACTCCTGAATGGAATTCAAAACGACACTTACATTTCCATAAATAAATTAGGAATTCAGTGGTTTCTTCGGGCTAATCAGGGCAGGCTGATAAACCTTGCTAGCTGTTTAATAAATGAATTGTGACTGATTACCTATTAATATGGACGCCTCAGGAATTCACCCTGGGGGAAGCAGAGCAGTGAAATAGAGAGGGGCCTGGCCCCTTGGGAAATCAGGGCTTCATGTTTGCAGCTTAAATATCTCTGTGAAGTATCAATAAGGAGGTAATTGAATTTTGAACACAAACATGAGCACCGGATGGATGAAAGGGGGAGGGGGATCAGATCGTCTCTTCTCTGCCCCCATCCTCCCCTCCCCTTTTCCTTAGAGACCACTCTAGTAAAGATAGATGCTAAATCCATTAAATAAAGATTAGACTCTGTCGTAGTAGAAAATGGCAGCTTAGCTAGATCCCTGGGCAAATTGGGGCCTTTTGCAATACAGAAAATTAAAATATACATTTTTAACAAGTGTGCTGTCTTGCTAGCAATAATGCCAGGCTAGCTTGTGGGGTTTACTCCTCCTTCAGATTAGCTTTTGCTGGGATAGATCACTTTCTCTTGTATTAATGCCAATCTTTTCTGTATTCCTGGAGCAGAAGGGCCTGAGTTTATTTATTTATTTTTAAAGCTTCTGTTGAGGCCTTTCTCTAGCATCCTGCCTGCTCATAATCAGAGGAGTGGGAAGGAGATTAGTATCCCATGAATTGACGGTAGATAAATGTTCCCTCTCCTCTGAACTGGTGAGTCCAGCAGAACCCAATCACTTGCATTTCAGGGATGATTGGAGGCCATACAGCCACGCAAAAAAAGGGCTAACCGTATGAAATAAACATTGATGTTTTGGTGCAATTTTACTTGGCTTTATACCTTCTTGATAAGGTTATCAATTTGCTTTGTCCTATTTTAAACCAGATCAGAGTCATATTAATGTAGGAAAATAATTGATACCATTTGATTACAGACCATAATACTTATGTCCTTTTAGCAATAAAATAAAAATGGTCATTAACCCTTACACACTTCTGTTCTCTTTCTGTAAATACCCAGTATTGGTTTTCTGGACTAATCTTTGTTTTTTTGTCAATTGACAGTTCTAATAACCTTTTTGTAAGGCTTTAGTTGGTCAGTCTATCAACAAGTATTATTTGAGCATCTGTTAAGTGCTATGGTCAGTGGTTAAAAAAAAAGTCTGACTAGGCATGTTGGCCACTTAGAGAGTTTAAGGCCATCCTGGACTACAGAGTGAGATGTGTCTCAAATAAGTAAGTATAAAGATATTCCATATAACATATAGTTCACTGGTAGAGTGATAACTTGGTACTCATCATTAATTGGTTCTAGGAAGCCTAATAGGCACTAAAATCAATGAGTAGCAAACAAATTGTGGACTGGAAAGGATAGCAAGTCATACAGCAATCCACACTGGAAAGTTCTAGCTTATGAATCAAATGCCAAACAAATTTACCAGGATGAAATTTTCACATCAAATGCAAATCAAATGAGTATCAAATTCAGTGTTTCAAAGAACTTGATGAGTATCAGTGTTTGGCTATAATTCATTTTTAGAAATGGTTAATTCAGTGATAGCATTATCATCAGAGACCCTGTTTCATCTTTCTGCATTCCACTTGCAGTTCCTCTTAGGATGTCTTTCATTGTAGTTGCAAGATAGTTGCTACAGTCTTTCATATCATACGCTGGCAACAGCTTTCTTAGATAGGAAATTGTTTTTCCTCCCTGTTCATCATCTTATCAGAGAAAAACCCTGGAACAGTGGTGATCTTATTCCTGTGACTAAATAAGTTCTTAGCAATAATGAGACTACCGTGATGGCCTTAGATGGACCAAAAAGGGTTCAACTTCCAAAACTGAAAGGATCTCAGTCTCCCCCAAGTATATGATACCCTGTACCTGAACGAAAGCATGATTTTGTTGATAAAAAATAAGTTAGGGAGGGCTGTGAATAAGGTACTTTCATGAATGAAGACCTGGGTTTGATTGATTGCCACAAACCCAAGTCTCACTTTTTTCCTCTAAATCTAAATAAATAAATAAATATGCTGCTGATATAGCTCAGTGCAAAGATCCAAGAGTCAATCCCCAGTCCTAGGGAAAAAAGAAAGAATTTTTAGTTTATTATTATTGTTGTTTTAAAGCTTAAGTCATTCAGTATGAATGTCTGCTATATGGGTGTAGTATGCATAGCACTGAGATTGTAGAGAAAAATTGCAACCTTATTTTTAAGAGTATCTCAGAAAGCACTAGGTAAGGATATCTTTCTCAGACAGGATCAGAGGAAGTAATCTTCAAATACCTTTCTAGATTGAAGAGCAAGGATGTGGAAGAAGGGTGACTTCCACGCAGAGTAAGGGATAATCTAGGCATAAGAAATAATAAAACCAAAGGCATGAAGCGTGATACATTTGGGCAAGTGTTGGCTAAGCAGGGAGGGATGATTGTGGAAAGCTGAGGAAGCAGCTGGTCATGCTTGTGAGCCAGGATGTCATCCCAAAGGCTTCCTGTGACTCGTGAAGGAATAGTAACTGAGAGGTGACACTGATCGACCTCTTCTCAGGAAGATCACTGACCATTGAGGGCAAAGGCTATAGACTTGTTCCTGTTACTCTCTCCCTCACGTCTCTCCGTATTGAGGACCGAATCCAGGGGCTGTCATGTTGGATAAGGGCTGTGTTACCATTGAACCACATCCCCAGAACTTTACTTTTTAAAATTTTGAGACAGGGTCTTGCTAAGTTGCCCAGGCTGACTTGAACTTGCAATTGTTTTGCCTCACTCTCGTGAGTATTTGGCATTACAAGTGTTTATCACCGTTCACAGCTCTCCCCTCTTATTTATTAAGAGTGCCTTGCACATTTATAGGTACTCAAGGACCGTGGGCAGGTGAGGAACAGGGATACCAGTTTTAGAAGATGTGATGTTGCAGGAGTTATGGATGTCTCTCAGTTTTTCAGTAGTTTTTATTCATTGTATTAATCAGAATAGAAAGTATAAGAAGAGATATTGTTTGAGGCTGGAAAATAATTTGTTTTTAACGTATTATATGTTGTTTGCCTCTGGGGCATTCTGAAACACTTTAACTTAGCTGAATATAAGTTTACTAAATAATTCAGTCATGTGGAAATAAACATGTATACCCTTTCAGTCACTTATAAATATTCTACCTCATATACAGATATATTTTTGTGGATTACCGCTAGCTAACATTTTCTGATATGTGCTGACACTGTGCCCAGCTCCTTATCCACACCCTGATAATGCTCCCATGGAATAACTAACATTATCCTCGTTGCACTGGTGAGAGAGGGACACTTGCCCAGAGTGATACAGCTATTAAATGACAGAGCCAGGACTAATTCAGGCGTGACTGTTCTAGAGCCTCTGCTCCTCAGGGTGCTCTTCCCATGTATCTGGGGGAGTCCTTTGCTCCTGGCCCTGGGTGGTCCTCTAAGGCCTGCCATAAGCACTGCCATGAATTTAGTGTCTTTTTAGTGCCCTTCTTGTTTTCCTCTTACCCAGCTACTTACCAGGCCAGGCCTGAATCACAGTGTGTTTGCCTGGGTAGGGTGAAGGGAGAGCTAATCCAGGCCTTTTTTTGCTGTTATGATTTGCTAGCATTCTTAGAGCCCTGGATTCATCAAGAAAACCAGACCTAGACTTTTGACTAAATGGAAAAAATTTGAGAACAAGCCCAAGACCCTCCAAGGTCCCATACCAAGAAATTAGTCATTGACAACTCATTTCCTTGAGAAAGGATCCTATACAGAGACCCAGAGCAAAGTCTAGGTTTAGTTTGCACGTCACTTCCTGTGGAAGTCCATACATGACTTCTAGATTAGACATTCTACCTCTTCTGCACCCAGGTTGTATACTTCACTAATACCATCTAATTCCTCTTTATAAGCCCACTCTTGCAGTTGCTTGTCAGAATGTCTCCTTTGCTTTCAACTAGACCCCCAGTTTGACATGCTAGGAAGTATATGAGAAGATGGAAGAGGCCACACAACCTCTTAAGTTTCAGCAATCTCATTTTGAATATTGAGTGATATTTTTACCAAAAAATTCTTTTTAGCCACTGGTTTAGTCCACGTGAAAGGAAATGCTGGTGTTAACTCAAGCTGCTGTGTAACGTAGCTGTGCACAGAATTCTTAATGGACCCAAACACATTCCCTTTATGACAATTCATATCTTCTATAGACTAAAAGCAAGTAGGTACCCCAGTTTAAAATAACCTCAGCCCAGTTTAAAATAAAACAAAACAAAAAACCTTTAATTCCAAGCAAGGATGATGGCACATTCTTGTAATCCCAGCACTCTGAGAGGCTGAGACAGGAGGATGACAAGTTTTAATCCATCCTAGGACAACCTAATAATTTAGTGAGACTGTGTCCTAAACTAAAAAATAAAGGCTTAGGGAGGTAGCTCAGTGGGAAAGCCCTGGGTTCAACCCAGACAAACAAACAAACAAAAACCAAAAAAACCCACCTTAGTTCTTTTCTGTTGACTTTATGTAGTCCCATATACATATGAAGGTTTTGAGATCTCTAAGGAAAATTTATTTTTATATTAATAGTTTTTCAAAGGGAACGCATTTATCTTTTGGAAAATGTTTTGTATATCTTTTTCAATTTTTAAATCTTTCATATTTTAGGTCATACTGGTTTTTACAGATTTCTCCTAGTTAGGTCAACTCAACATTAATTAACTTACTCTACTTTCCCAAGCATTAATGGAAATACTGGATTATGACCAATCTAATACTCTCTGGACATTCCGTTACACACTTTGCTCAATGTGATTTAAGACAGTTTATAATCACTCCTTGCAGTCTTGAGGCCAGTTTTCAATTCCTGAGACTCATACATCCTGGCTAGTTTTAATTAATTTTGCAAGGAAGATGCCAGGAGATGCAATATTAAATGCCTTTTTATAATCAGGTTGTTTCATCAGGTTATTTGTCATCTACTAATCTTATAGTTTTATCACAACAAAATACAATTTTTTTCTGATATAGTTTGTTCTTCATTCTTGTTCTCTAATGCTTTGCACTCATAGTTTGGGTAACCTATTTATGATTATCTTACTCATAACTGATATTAGGGAACTTCTCTAGATTTTTAACAATAATGACTAGATTTCATTTTTTATCATGAGAATTTGGGGATAGGTTTTAATTGGTATCACATTGTGTTCTATTTATTTGGTCTTTTTGGGTATCAGCTGGGATTCAGTTGGGAGTTTGTTTGTTTGGGTGGTTGAGACATGGTCTCATTATGCAGTTCTGACTTTGAACTTGCCATGTCACTCAGGCTGATCTCAAACTTGTGACCCTCCTGCCTTAGCTGCCTGAGTGCTTACATTACAGATATGTACCACTCTAACTGTCTCTTAAATAGGAATAAGAGGCAAAAGGTGGTTAACTTCTGTAAGAGTAAGAGCAAAATCTAAGGTGTACAGATACAGCAACTGCCAAATACCACCCAGCTCTAGGGCTGAAGGAAAGTGAACAACAAAGGACTTAGAAACTTAGAGGAGATCCCTGCAAGAGATTTAGCATTTCTGGAGGGAAGACCTGCTGCTGCAAGGACATGTTGCCCACTGCAAAAAGCTGCCCCATGGTGTCTTGCTGGAGCAGCCTCTGTGGTGGTACAAGTAACATGAACTGGGAGGCCCACCACTCCCAGGATAAACATTAAACATTGCCAGGACCCCCGCATGTCACTGCACAGAAAAAAGACATGCTGCAAGAAGGAAGAAAAAGTGCTTTCTCGCTTCCATCTTGCACTCTCCTTCTATTGCCCTGTATTGGCAACACTTAGCTTGGAGCCGGCTGGCAGAAGGGTAATGTGGCTTGTGTTGGTTCCAGCTCCAGTACCACAAAGCAGGGCAAAGAAGGCAGAGTTAGGAGTTGAAAGACAGTAAATGAGTGAGTGGCCCCATGAATAAAAAACTTTGTGTAAATTTCAATCTTACTACTGGGAAATAGTTAATAAGCACTGTAGTTTTTCTTTTAAGACTTTATAGAACTATTTAATTTTTTTTTCGCACCAGGAATTGAATTCATGACCTCATGCTTGCCAGCAGGTGCGTATGACACTGAGCTGAACTCCCAGCCCTGAATTATTTGATTTTTTAAATACACACATGTCATGGTTTATGTCTGTGGCCCCCAGGCCTCATGAGTTTGAATTGTGCATTTGTTATTTGTTCATTGTCTAGTGCTTGGATTGGTGTCAGTGCTCCACCCACATAGGGGTGGAGCCAGGATGTGATGTAATGGCAGGAAGAAGGTGTGTCTTGCTCTTTTGCTGGTTCATGCTTGCGGTTTGCGGCTGCCATGAACTGCGGCCCAGCCATGCCCGCCTGCCTTGGAGCCAACTAAGTGTGGACTAAAACCTCCAAAAACTATAAGAAATAAACCTTTCCTTTCCCAACTTTGGGCTTCAGGTATTTTGTCTCAGTGACCAAGTAAAAAGTGACTAAGACAATACACATATACAAAAATAGGCAAAATGTATATAAGTAGCCCAAAAGTAAAAGATGTCTTCCTCTGTTTATATAAAAGCAAGTTAATTGCTTTAAAATAAAATGTGATCACTTACAGATTTTGTAATATAAAAAGCAAAAATATATGTGCCCAAACTTGATCATAATCTAATATAAATTAAGTTATAGTTTATGAATGAGAAATAACTATTTCCATTCAGTAAGGGGAGATAGAACCCGAGATTCTAGCTATTAGCAGTATGTTGGTGATAATTTGACTAAAGAATTTCACTTTTTCCCATCTTTCCTTCCTTTATATAAATGATACTTGGGGCTGGGGATTTAGCTCAGCGGCATAAGCACCTGCCTTGCAAGCAGGCGGTTGTAAGTTCAATCCCCAGTACCGATAAAAATGAAAAAGACCCCCCAAAAAATAAATAAATAAATGATACTTTTCCTAAGATTTAGTTGAACTTCAACTCAATAGAATAAAAATAAAAGTCTATGGTAGTTTGCATACATAGGGTCCTCTAAATATTGACCTGTAGGTTTTGGTGGGTAGCATTTTATTTTTCTAATGTGGCACTGAGTTGTGCATTTAGCATTAGGTCTGGGTAATCTCTCTGGGGAGAGTGGAATTGATGGATCCTTTTTTTTGCCAGTCTCGGGTGGCCTGTCATGAGAGCAGGTGTTGCTCGGGCAGTACATGCAATCAGGAGTCTTAGTGCAAATCTGATAAAAGCATATATTCCCTAGACCACTCAGGCTAGGGTCTCTCCTGGGGAAGAGGCCAACATTGGTCTCTTATGCATTAAAAAAGGAGAGAGAGAGAAAAAAAATAAAGAAAAACTAATTATCAACCTACTGCAAATGTCATTCCACTCAAGACCCTAAAGGACAAAGACCTAGGTGACAAATGTTTCTGGAGAGAGTTGAGCCATCACTTGTCTTTTTAATGGAGCTTCATGTTTGGCTACAGAAGCACATGCTATTTCTCCTTTTCATATGTTTCATCATACTGAGTATAAACATGAAGGAATTGTACAACTTTTATAATGTTTTGGATTTGAACAGAATCCTTTCGTTAAGAATAGGGTATAGGGGGCTGGAGATTTAGCTCAGCGGCATAAGCGCCTGCCTTGCAAGCAGGCAGTCGTGAGTTCGATCCCCTGTACCGATAAAAAGGAAAAAGACAAAAAAAAAAGAAAAATAGGGAATAGTTTCATTGCTCTGAAAATATTCAGGGGATAGCTGTCTGTTGAGTTAGCTGTCCTTAGTACTTCGCCTGTTTTTCCTTAGTTTTGATTACATGACTTCCATCTTATTTTGTCTGCATTGACTAACTGGGACCACTGATCTGTGTCCTATTCCAGAGTGCAGAGCTAGTAGTAATAATGGGGAGAAGTGAGACAGAAGTTGTGTATTTATTTATTTACTCATTCATTTGTTGCAGGTGGTATGTTGGTGGTTGTTATTTTGAGACAAGGTCTCCTGTGTAGTTCAGGTTGACCCTGAACTCACTGTGCACCGCAGGTTAGCCACAAAGTCATGGTGATCCTCTTGCCTCAACCTCCCAAGGGCTGGGATTACAGGTGTGTACCACCACATCCAGCCTGCTACAGTATTAAGGAAGAAATTTCCAAATGTCCAGAAATAAATGGACTTTCAAAAAAGTACTGCATTCCTCCTGGAAATGCTCAGGCAGTGCTGTATGACTAACTGCTTGGGTTGGGTGGGAGCACAGATTTGCTGATTATACATACTCATTCATAAGAGTTCAACTTTTTGCTTTCTGCAGAAGATCTACAAAGTAAGCAGTCTTCTTGTTGAATTGCTCTATTGTCACAATATTTCTGTTTATTCTTATAGTCCACTGTTTTAACAATTATTATTTGTTAATGAGAATAGCAATGCTACTAGTACTTTATTTGAAGTAGTGTTTTGATAATAGGAAAATTATGAGTTTTTAAAACAGTACTTAGAGTAGAAGGAAATATAATCTGAACCCTAAGTGACTTGGATAATAAGAACATTTTGTGTACCAGAAGTATGAATTGCTGCTTTTACAGGCTCTGAAAGTAAAACTTGAGTGACAGGGGAAAAGTGGGATTCTTGTTATGTTGCCTGGGCTATCCCCAAACTTCTGGGTCCAAGTGATCCTTCTGCTCAGCCTCTTGAGTAGCTGGAGCTACAGGTATGCCCACTGCCACCTGGTAGAACTTGTGAAATCATTAGCTTGAGATTTCATCACACGTTTCAAATAGGACTTTCATGAATGAATGATATAAGCATTTCTTGCTGCTCTGTTGTGAAAAGTAACATGATACCTACTACCTGTTAACTCTGCTCAGTTAAGTGATTTGCCTCTGAATTCCCTAAGACTGGCCCTTTTCATGCTGTTATGACTTTTATATCTTCTTTAGATTCTCAAACTTAATTATGAGTGTTTCTTCCTTTTTAAGAAATTTCTGAGGTAAATATGAATACCAATTTATTTGTTTACCTGATAGAATTTGTAATGCTACATTTTTCCAAATGACAACCTTGAAGCAGATAAACAAACAAGAAACTAAGAAACTTCTTGGTGAGGTGAACTCAACAGTATCTTATTTTATTTTAATTTTTTTATATATTTTTGGTACCAGGGTTGAACTTACAACCTTGCACTTGATAGGCCGGCATGTGTGCTGCTGAGCCAAATCCCTGGCCCTTTAATTTAACTTTTGAGACGTTACCTTGGAATTTAATTCATTTTCTAATTAGAAATAGAAAAGATTAAAAATTATTATTTTTTTTTGAAACAGGGTCTCACTCTGTAGTTCAGGCTAGCCTGAAAGTCACAGCAATCCTCCTGCCTCAGCCTCCTAAATGCTGAGATTACAAGCATGTATCACTATATCTGGCTAAACTTAGGGTTTTTTCTTACAGTGTTATGCTTGATATGATGAGTAGTCGTTACCCCATCCTTATGTTCTCTTCCTTCTCTTTCTGAGATTATTTTTACCAGAAGTAATCTTCTAGCCTGGTATGATGCTGTATAATTTTTTTTATCGGTACTGGGCATCCAACTCACGACTGCCTTCTTGCAAGGCAGGCGCTTATGCTGCTGAGCTAAATCCCCAGCCCTGATGCTGCATAATTCTAATTCCAGCACTCTGGGAGACTGAGGCAGGAGGATCAAGAGTTCAAGCTCACCTTTAGCAATTTAGTGAGACCCTGTCTCAAAAGTTTTTAAAAAGGAGGGTAGTGCTTGGAATGTAGCTCAGTACAAAGGCCCTGTATTCAATCCCCAATACTACCAAGAAGGGGGAAAAAAGTAATCCTTGGTCTCTTTCCTTTTCTGAATACTCTTCATGCTAAGCATTATGTACTTTAACCTATTATTAAAAATCTGTATGGTATACATAAAAATAGAACTTAGCTTATTTAAAAATTAGGCAGTTCTGTTCAACTTGAATAGTAAGAGATTATGTAAATATAAAGTACCCAGAAAGGAAGCTCCAAGACAAAATGTTAAAAACAAAATTAATAGAGCCTTCATGGAACAATGTCAAGTAGCTCAAATATAATTGGAGTCCCAGAAGAAAAGGAGTTGAGAACAGACTGGAAAAAAATATATGAAGAAGTAAAATGGCCCAACTATTATAAGCAGGCCAGTGAAACCCAGTAAGGAAGACAACCACACGAGACACATCAAAATACAATTGTCGGAAACCAGTGATAAAGTGAAGATCTTAAAAGCAGGCAGAGAAAAGGCATACAGAGAAACAAAGAACAAAACAGACTTACTGCTACAAAGTGTAGAAGCCAGACATAATAGAATGAAATCTTTTTTTCTTTTCTGTTTTGTTCTTTTTCTTTCTTTCTTTATCACTTCCTTTCATTTATTTACTTAAAGTCTTTTTGAGAGGGTTTCACTCTGCAGTTAATACTGGCCTTGAACTCACAGCAGTCTTCCTGCCTCAGCCTATGAGTGTTGGAATTACAGGTGTGCACCACCACACCCAGCCAAATCTTTCAAATACTGAAAGGAAAATATTCAGGTGTCAGCCTAAAATTTCATATTCATATTTATAAAAATATTCTTCAAAAAATAAAGACAAACACATTTTCCACACAAAAACAAGATATTTTGTCCTCTAGATGTATGCTGCATTCGGAAAAATGTTCAAGGCAGAAGTAATAAGCTAATAGTGGAAGTATAATGGAATACTAAAGAATACTTTGAGGGTGTTTTTGGTACTGGGGATCGAACTCACAACCTTGTGTTTGCCAGGCAGGTGCTTATGCTACTGAGTTAAATCCCTGGCCCAAGAATACTTTGTTGAGAGCCAGGGATTTAGTTCAGTGGCATAAGCACCTGCCTGGCAAGTGCAGGGTTGAAAGTTCAATCCCTGGTAACATCAAAAAGAAATATTTTATTGATCCAAAAGAAAGGAACAAACACTGTAGTGAGCAAATAAAATAACCAGATGATCAAGATAAACCAAACTGTATGAATAATTGAATATAAGTATCTAAACATATCAATTAAAAGGCAGAGATTGTCAGGATTTTTTTTTAAAGGTAAAACTTAACCTGTAGTTGATAAATGTTAAATATAAGGACATGGACAAATTTAAAATAAAAGGTTAGAAAAAAGGCATTCTTTTGTCAGGCATGGTGGTGCACACCTGTAATCCCAGCACTCAGGAGGCTGAAGCATCAGATTTGCCATGAGTCCAAGGACATCCTGGGCTACATAGTGAGTCCCTGTCTCAAGGCCAAAAGAAAAAAAAAAGAAAAAACATTGAGAAGGTACAAATTACCAATATCAGAAATTAAAGAGGAGCCATCATGATACATCATCAAGACAATGTTTGGCTTATGTGAAATGGGCAATTTCTTGAAAGATGCAAATTTTCAAAATTGACTTTAGTAGATAGAAAAAAACCTCTATAGCCTTATATCTGATTTAAAAATTTGAATTTGTAATTAAAAGCATCACAACCCAAGTTCAAGTTCAGATGGCTTCACTTGATAAATTCTATTAAACATTTAATGAAGGATTAGTACTAGCCCTTACAATGACTAGTTTTTAAATGGGTTAAATATTTGAACAGACACTTCACAAGAGAAATAAATAGCAAGTTGTGGTGCTACATATTTATAATCCCAGAGGATTGAGGCAGGAGGATCATAAGTTGCAGGCCAGTTTGGGCTACGTAAGGAATTTAAGGCCAGGCTGGACTATGTAGTGAGTGTGATGTTGCCTCAAAGAGACAATGGAGGAGGATTTGGTCAGTGAACATGTAAAAATATCCTGAACATTATTAGCAGGGAAATTATATTTGTAAAGTAAAACCATAATGAGATACCACTGTATACCCATTAGAATAGCTAAAATTTAAAGATGGACAATAACAAGTGTTGGAGAATATGGAACAAGTAGAACTCACACAGTGCTGATAGGAATGTGAAATGATATAACCTTTCTATAAAAGTTTGACAATTTATCATAAAGTTAGACAAGCATTTACTTTATAACCTAGCCAATCAGTTTTTGCTTAGGATGCATGAAAACATGTATCTTGCCAAATGTGACACACACCTGTAATCCCTTGGGAGACTGAGGCAGAATTGTCTCATATTTGAGGCTAGTCTAGGCTACACAGTGAGTTCAAGACCATCCTGAACTATGTAGCAAGACCTTGTCTCAAAAAAAACAAAACAAGGAAAAAAGTATCTACACAATGATATGTGTGAAATGTTTGTGGTAGTTTTACTCATAATAACTGTCAATTGAAAAGATCCCTGGTAGATCTATCAAAAGATAAATATATTATGGAACTCTATATAATGGAGCTGTACTAAAGCAACAAACCACATACACAAGCAATATTTTGAATATCTAAAATGTGCTGAAGAGTCTATACTATATGATTTATAACAAAGTTCTAGAGAAGGCAAGTATAATCTAGTGACAAAAGTAGATCAATGAGTGCTGTCTTAGTTACTTTTTCTTTGCTGAGACAAAATACCTGACACGCAGAGTTAAAGGAAGAAAGGTTTTATTTAGCTCAGTTTATAGAGGTTTCAGTACATAATAGGCTGGCTGCAAAGCAAGGTAGCTTGGCAGAGGGACATTGCAGAGGGGAAACAATTTATTACAGGCAGAAGGTAACAAAACAAGGCACAAGATAAGCCTCTTTTTGTCCCTTATATTGTATCCAGGCTACTGGGATTAGGGCAGTACCAAACCAACCAGTAGCCTAATTTATAAATCACCCATCTTTAATCCCAACATTACACCCTCTAGATCCAGCCACCTCTGAAAAAGCCCCACCTATGACTGCGTGAGACTTTGTGGGGCATTGGACCTAAACCGTAACGGATGCCTAGAACTAGGAGTAATACTGAGTTTGCAAAAGGGAATAGAACAGTGGTGGCAAACCTATGGCACATGTGTTTGTTTTTATTTTTAAGACAAAAGATGTTAATGTATGAGTTTTTTTTTTAACTAAAGCCTCAATATTCATGTTTCATTGCAGTGTTGGCACTTTGGGATAAATAAGTGGGTTTGGAGTTGCAGTTTGAGTACATGACTCTTTAAAAAAGTTTACCAACACTGGCATAAGGAATGATTTGGGTTGATAAATATAAGTTAGGACTGAGCAGGTTATATCATATGGTTTGTGGAGCAGAGTACAACTTGTGTTGAGTAAGACATAAGGAGCGTAATGTCAAACTCAGCACCAAGGAAAGATGTACTTTATTGGAGCTACTGAGAACTTTGGCACATAAATATATTAAGAACATGTCCAAGTTAGAAAATAATTCTACTCAAATATCTGTGCCAGACTGGAGGACAGATGAAAAGCTTGTGTGACAATTACGGAGGCTCTTATGGACCCTGTGAAAAATTACACAACTGAGCCAGGCGTGGTGGCTCATGCCTGTAATCCCAGCACTCTGGAGGCTGAGGTGGGAGGATCGTTGCAAGTTTGAGACCAGCCTGGGCTACAAAGTAGCCTGAACTGCATAGCGAGACCCTGTCCAAAAAAAAAAAAAAAAAAAAATTACATAACTGTGTTAATTTTTTGTTTGTTTTGTACTGGGAATCAAACTCATGGCCTTGTGCTTGCCCAGTAAGTCCTTGTGCCACTGAGCTAAACTCCCGACAACTGTGTTAATTTGCTGAATATTTTCTTCTCTTTAAGCCAAACACAAAATGGTTTAAAGCCAGGTATGGTGGTGCACACCTGTGAGCCCAGCACTCAGAAGGCTAAGGCTGGAGGATTGCTGCAAATTTGAGGCCAGCCTGAACTGCATAGTGAGACCCTGTCTCAAAAAGAACAAAAAAGGAAAAAAAAAAAAAAGGTTTAGAACTCCTAATCCTCTATTTTGTTCAGTAAATATACATTGAACCAATTTGATTTATTGATTAAGTGTTGTTGTTATTGTTGTTGTTATCACAAAGTAATTTTATATTTATTCTACTTGACCAGGTCTCTTAGGTGCTTTTGCTGGATAAATATTTTGAAGTATTAAAGTGATTGCAAATGAAAAAAAGGCCATCAAAGTGATTGCTGTCCTCAAGGCTTTGAACCATTTGGGATAATGGGGCAAGAGAAAAACTTAAATGTGTAATGCTACTCCCAAACCTATTATTACTGTGATTATGGCTTCACTGAGTCTTTCAGAAATGAGGAAGACCAACCTTGAAAACACAATGGAAGCAACATTGTTACCGAAGTAAGGTTGTCTAGTTTGGCTGGACTACCTTTTGTCAGAGCAAACTCCATCTGACCCCTCCATCTGAGTAAAAGCTAGTACAGGGTTATAAGACTTTATCATGACCATTGGCCGGGAATTTATCTCAGAAGTATAAGCGCCTGCCTGGCAAGTGCAAGGTCGTGAGTTCGATCCCCAGTACAAAAAAAAAAAAAAAAAAAAAGACTTTATCATGACCATTATTATTGGGGAGTCAGGAAAGGGATTAGTCCTGGCAGTTATATACAGTCCTGGCTTTGGGCTTTCAGGCAGGCGAGTGATGGTGATTGGTGACCTGACTGGAAGTACCTTGCTTCTGCTGCTTCTTCAAGCTGCATGGAGATGTATGATAGCATTGTGCCTTACGCACCCTGGAAATGATGGTAAACACCAAGGTCTTGGAAACAAAGGCAGGAGAGATGTCTTGAGAGAAAGTGTCTGTGTTCTCCTGCTGGCTCCTAGTCTCGTTGTGAAAGGCAATTCAGCATCTTTGAAGCTGCTTGAGGAAACCTCTGAATGAAGTGAAGCATACTGGGCCCTATTGAAAGTCTTCAGGAAGATGCCTTACAGTTCGGATTAACGTATTTTTACAGCTTAGTGGAGGGGCTGAATCAGAAGCATGTTGCAGTTACGACCCTGATTCTTACCAGAATCATGGAGTCATGTGGTCAACTGCACAGCAAGAAGAACCAGCGATTCACGCAAAAAGCACTGTCTGCAGGTTGAGTTAACCTCCTACTTCCTGAGCAATTGATTGTTTTTCAGACAGGATCTTGCTTTGTAATTCAGATTGACCTTGAACTCACTAGTTAGCCCAGGCTGACCTTAAACTAGTGCCACTTTAGCCTCCCAAGTGATGGGATTACAGACATGAACCATCACCCTGGCTAAATGCACAAATTTTAAAAAGAAATCAGGCTGAGCATGTAACTCATTGGTAAAGGATTTGCCTAATCTCCACAATCTCAAGCACCAGAGGACAAATGAAAAGAAACTATCAATATTAGTTCTGTTAGTATCTTTAAGAGTATAGAACAGATAGGAACACAGAAAGTCTATAAATTCTTTTTGTATAAATGAAAGCTATATTGTTCATAATCTGATTTAGGATTACTGATTCAGTTAGTATTATATTTGGCAAATTATTCACATGTACTGGGGATTAGATTTTAAAGTGCATTAATCTTTCAATTTAAAAATTTTTATTTTTTTTAATATACAGCTTTGTTAAATGGTTTCTTATTTAATGCATTTGCATTAATTTAATCCACTTATATTAAATCTAATTGTACAGTGACTACTTGAGATGAATATTCATTAAACAAAGATGAATTTTCAAATAATTATCATAGTATCTAATCTAAGTGTTACTTTAATTCAAAGTATACTGATTTTGTTTTCTGAAATAGTGCATCATAAGTGCAAATACTGATAATTTTGAATTTAAAATTTACCAAGTATATTCCTTCTTGAAGTATATGGCAATGATGTTCCAACATCCAAGTTTATTATCAAGAACATAGATTTGAACCAGGCATAATGGCACATACTTGTAACCTCA